TTTTTGAATTTCTTGTGTTTGGATGGCCACATCTCTGATGAAAGGGGAAAAGTTTTTTTGGATAACCTCCTGGAATACTTGTTCCATGGTGTACCCCTGTTTCCCTTTCTTCTCGTGGGATACTGATCCAGTGTAAGTTTGGCCTCTTGATATAGTCTCACCTGTCTTGGAGGCTTTGTTCTTTCTTTCTGAGTTTTCTTTCTATGTTTTAACAGCTTGGATTAATTTCATGCTTTGGTCTTCAAGCTCTGTGATTCTTCTTCTTGATTGATTTTGCTTTACATGCTTTTCATCTTGCTATTTATTTCCTGGATGAAGTTTTTATGCCCAAAATCTCTGTTGCAACTTACTTCAGTGTTGTTTTCTTTTATTTTTTTTTTGAGTTGGAGTCTCACTCTGTCACCCAGACTGGGATGCAGTGGCCGCTCCCGGCCACCACAGCCTCGACGTGCTGGGCTCCGGTGATCCTTCCGCCTCAGCCTTCCAAGTAGCCAGAACTACAGGCATGTGCTACCACGCCCGGCTGATTTTTTGATTTATTGTAGAGATGAGGTCTCACCTGCCCAGGCGGGTCTCGGACCCGTGGGCTCAGGCAATCCACTCACCTCAGCCTCCCAAGGCGTGGGATTACAGGCTGAGCCACCGAGCCCAGCTTACTTCAGTGTTTCATCTTGTCTTTCTTATGTCTTATTCACTCTTTCCATCCATTCCCTAGTTCCTGTTGTATTCTGGGGCCAATTGTTGGTGATTTCCATTGTTTGGGCTCTGAGGTCTGATTTTTCAGGTGTTTCCTCTTTGGTACATTGGGAATTGCCTGTGTTCTTCCACTGATTTCTCCTCATTTGTGACAGAGCTCTTTCTTTTCTCTTTAATTCCATTATTCAGTAGCAGTGGGTGAGGTTTTCACTTCTGTTGTTTGCTCAGCCCTCTATTCTTCCCTGATCAGCCTCCACATTTGTTCTGTTTTGAAACAGGGTTGGAAGTGGGAAGCTTTGCTGTTTATTGTAGTTTTGAGAGTCAAATAAGGTATAAGGTGGAGAGTTAGGATTTAGAGTTAGGATTTATAGTTTCACTGACTGGTGGATGGACCTCCTGAGACCCACACCCCACCACCACTCTATATGACGAAGCAATGAGTATATGTGTATATCCCCTGAGCCCAAAGTAAATTAACAATAATGAGGAGAACAGAGAAAAGTAGAATGAAATAGAGTGAACAAAAATAATAGAAATTAAAATAAACCACAAAAAACAAAAGGAAAAATAAGAACAAAAAACCAAACAAATAATGAAACCAACAGAAAACACAAAAAACATGAAAACTGAAAACACACACACTCAACAAAAAATGAAAGAGAAAGATGCAAAAAAAAAGATGGGGAGGAGCCGGGCCCGGTGGCTCAGCCAGTAATCTCGCGCCTTTGGGAGGCTGAGGTGAGTGGATTGCCTGAGCCCGTGGGTTCGAGACCCTCCTGGGAAGGCGAGACCTCATCTCTACAGTAAATCAAAAAATCAGCCGGGCGTGGTAGCACATGCCTATAATTCTGGCTACTTGGAAGGCTGAGGCGAAAGGATCACCGGAGCCCAGCAAGTCGAGGCTGCGGTGGCTGGGAGCGGCCACTGCACTCCAGTCTGGGGGACAGAGTGAAACTCCAACTCAAAAAAAAAAAAAGAGGGGAAGAATGCCAGTCGAACCCTCACACACACATTCACATGCACTAAATCAAAACAAAAGAAGAACAAAATTTTTAAAGAGGGGCAGAATGCAAATTGAACCCTCACATACATATTCATACACACACTAAGCCACAACAAAAAAAGAAGAAGAAAAAACCCCAAAAGACAAAAGAAGAACAAAAAAAGGGGGGAGTGAATGCAAACTGGACCCCCCCACATACACACTAAGCCATAACAGAACAACAACAAAAAAGAATTTCTGGGCACCAACCGCCCTCTTGTGGCAGGTTCTGTAATTATTCCTCTCAGCTGCTCACAGGTAAGCTCGCCTGCTATCTCCTGTGGGGCTGCAGGCTAGTTCACAATCTCCCCAGCCTACAGCCAGGGGTGTGTTGGCGGGAGGGAATGGTGGGGCTGGGTGGGGTGTCAGTCCTCGTCTCTCACTCTCATAAGGTCAGGGGGAATTCTTCTGGTGGGGAGGTATAGATTGTCTCCTCCCAAGATGCTAGTGGCAGATGCCTCAGCCAAGCTTATCCCAGAGTAGAGTTCTCCTAACATCGCTGCTATCCAGGCTCCACCTGGGTTTGTTCCTTTCAGTCATGCCCAAGCCGTGTAGGACTGACATTCAGAGGATTGCTGGGGATGAGGAGGTTGGCTCAGCCCAGGACTCACCACTGATCTCTTAGAGAATCTTCCATTTCCTTTTCTGGTTACCCTTTGTCCCTCAGCTGGATCATAGTAGGGGGTCTGGCACCAGAAACTCCATCCTCATCCTCTTCCTCTAATGTTTTTGCTTTCGGGATATTCCCTCTGGGTCATGATCAACCCTTGAGTAGTTAAACTGCAGGTTACAGAGAGTGGACCTGTTGTTCCCTGGTGAGCAAACCAGAGCACTTCCCTGCTCAGTTTTTAAGATGGTGGCACGGTGCCTGTTTTGGCTTCTCCAGAGGGACTCTGCCTCTAGTTTCCTCACTGTACCCCCTCCGTAGCCCTTGCTACCAGTGTCTGACCTGGTACTGCTGTTGCTCCCAGCAGCTTCTCCCTGGGAACAGGTTTGTTGCTTTTAGAAAATGGTGCTTGGCCTCTGCATCCCAGGAGGTGCTAAGGTCTAAGCAGAGAAGCTGCTTCACCAGGAGAGCCCTGGCCACTTGCTTCCAAGTCCCCACTCAGTCAACAACTCACACTCCCTCCTGCAAACATACACACATGAAAATGCATCCATATACTCACTCACTCACTCACACAGTCCAACTGACTCTGCCACCATCTTCTTCCTCTTAGAGTGCATTTTCTACCAGTATTTTTTACTGGCATTGTTCATTCTAATTCTTCATTCATGGCACTAATGTCATCCGTTTTTTATACCAAGCTGAGGGAATATTGGAGTGAACAGAATCACTGTCATTGCTAATATGCTAAGAGACTGTGCCACAGAAAAATGAATTTCACCAGGTGTGGTAGCTCATGCCTATAATCCTAGCACTTTGGAAAGCCGAGGCAAAAGGATTGCCTGAGCCCAGGGTTCAAGACCAGCCCGGGCAACTTGATGAGACCCCCGTCTCTACAATAAATAAAAAAACTAGCTTGGCATGGTGGTGTGCACCTGTTGTTCCAGTTACTTGGAATGCTGAGGTGGAAGGATTGCTTGAGCCCAGCAAGTCAAGGCTGCAGTACCATGAGCATGCCCCCACACTCTAGTCTGGATGACAGAGTAAGACTGTGACTTAAAAAAAAGAAAAAGAAAAGTTAATTTCTTCAGTCTTTGACAGTTTGATAAGCAAACATTGGCATCCCGATAGGTGTAATTGGTATAATTTTTGATTCTGTGACCAATGGTGAAGTTGAACCTTTAATTATTGCATTCATGGCAAGTACTTGTCAACTGGAAGCTAGGCAACAATCTTAGAAGGGGCCCTCCCTCATTCTCACTGATGGAGAAATATCTTTCTGTAGCTTGAAACACACTTTTCATTGACTTCTGGGCTGACCTAAGTATTTTGAATGATGCTGGGGATCTTTGACTCTCCTAAATCATAAGTAGATGGAGGAAGATAATAGAACCAAAGGATTAGAGAGACAAATGCTAGCGCTCAGCATGGGTGAAATGCCTCTTGGTGCCCTATCTGCCAGGTCCATGACCTTTTCTTCTGTTATCCTTATGCTATGTTCTTCAGGTCTGTCCTTCTATTTGCATGAGGTTTAATGTAGTGGTCTTGTCTTTAGACATGCAGGGAATGGGCAAAACCACCCAATCGTGCTGCTGGCCACATCTCTACAGGGCTTGTGTGAGGGATATGGCTTCTTTAGCCAAGATGGAGAATATTTGTGTAGGCTTCAAACTAAATTGTTTCATATGGCAAATCAAATGAAATTGTTTCATATGGCAACAGGCTTTCTTTCCCTTTATTGGGGAAGAAGCGTGGTGGTGAGGAGGAAACTTTTTCTTCTTTTTAGAGTAAATGCTGTACAAGTTTCAATACTGATGATAATTGGTTTGTGCCCCTATAACATGGAATGAGTCCCTTCATTCTCATTATTAGGAGGATAAGGTCAGTCTTTATAACACATGACTCCTGCAACTACACTGTTGGAATCGGTCATACTTCTTGCTTTCCTTTCTAAGGAAAATAATGGGGGCATATTAAAATTTAGCAAGAATGTGTTTAAAACTTACTATATACAAATTATAATGTATGAATCAAATGTCCCTGTTATCCATCCCACATTTTAGAAGCCAAGGTTAACTCAACTGTGAGAAACTTTTGGTTAAGGACCAAACATCCACCATTTTCAGCACTTTTTACCTTGGTTGCCAATTTCATCCACGGTGGGAAGGAGATTGATTGTCCTGGAGAATTTTAAACCTCTATAAAGAAATATATTTGGTGATGGGGAAAGTTGATGCTTATGGTGTATTTTAGGTGAAATAAAGCAGTTTACATGACAGAATGATCCCATAAGAACTGTATATATGTGTGTGCGCATGTGTGTATGTGTATAAAAAATTGTGCATGCATATATACATCATATACATATATGAATATACATTTGTATGTATATAGATATATGTATTTATGCATACACACAATGTCTAGAAGAAACCACCCCAAAATATTAACAGTTTTTAATCTCAGTTAGAGCTTTCTGGGTAATTTTTTTGTTTCTTGTATTTTTTTATGTATTCTTTTTCTCCAATAAATATGTATTAACTTTTTCTCTAGCAAACATGTTATTTCTTGTACTATTTAGAAAGTTTAAAATGTAACCTCTTATTAAAATGATTTCTTTTGTAATAATACATTATTTCTGTATTGTATTTACAGCCCAAACTTAGCATGGCCAAATGCAGAAGAAATGTGGAAAACTTTTTGGAAGCATGCCGAAAATTAGGAGTACCAGAGGTAACTTCAAACTTAATTCAAATAACTGTGTTCTAGTTACCAAAAAAAAAAAAAAAAAGATGTATATTTGACCCATTGAATAGATGTAAAGCTTTATACACCTCAACCTTTCTTAAGGAATAATATTGAGTAATTTATTAAAATTTTCATTTAAATTGCTCTATTGCAGCAAAGATAAAATGGTTTTATGCAGTATGTTCAATTCTTAGGGAAATGGGGAATAATTTAAGATTTTGAAATGAATGTGAAATTCCAAACTTGGAAAAAAATTAATCAGTTGGATTCTCAAAGAGCAGACATTGCTGAGCTGCAAGTGAGCCTTCTCTCAGGTTCTATAGGGTAGAATTCTAGAGCTGATGATTTCTTTATCCTGAGCTCTTGAGCAAAGACCATAATTGTCCACTGATTGATTTTCACTCTCTGTAGTTTTGAGTATATGGATAAAAAAATTAATGCTGAAAATATTATGGTTATCATTTTCATTAATCCTTATCATTAATATCAATGTTTGTATGTTGCTTTATAGTTTTGTTAACTATTTGCATTTCATTTTCTCCTTTAGTTTGCTGTAGGCCCACTTGGCAATTCTTTATAGTCAGTTGGCAACTCACCTATATCCACAGTTTTCTACTTTCTCCCTTAGTTCAGCTCCAGCCTCAGCCTCAGCCTCAGGCAGACAGTTGATTCAGGGGTTTTTTAAAGTCTTTGCTTTTTGAAACATAAAATGATTTCTTTGAGAGATGTGAGCCAATCCACTCAGAATTTGAGGATAGCCATATAAGTTGAGAAATGTATCATCACTGTGATAAACAAAAATGGATAGAAATTATATTTCTTATGCCTTCTTCTATCTTTGTTAATGCCTCAGGGATAAGTAACTTAAAAATCTATTGTGAAATACTGTTTTTGAGTATGTGAAAGAATTATATTTTAGTATAATTCTATTCAGTGTTTGGAGTTAATTACTGAAATTGACAAAGGCGTTTTTTTCTTCCTCTCTCCCTCCCTCCCTCCTTTTTTTCTCTTCCTTTCTTTCCGTGCCTTTTTTTTTTTAAATCTTGGTGAGGTTCAAAGGTGGGAGACTTAGTGGTAGGCTTCTAATCTTATTTGAGGAAAAGGAGAGCATCATTAAAGCTTTTTAAGTCAAATCTGTGTCGTTATAAAGGAGCCTACAAATTAGTTTATTAAGTATAATTTTTATATAATGCACTGTCTTTGTGATCAATTCTGTTTTCAACAATGTTAATTTGTATGTCTATTGTATGTGTACATTTAAATATTGCATATACATTCTTGGCCTTGAATATATGTGAAACTACTTGCATGTCCTTTCTAATGATTTGATTCTGTCATGAGCTCTTAAGATTTTCCATGTGTGAATCAAAACAACAAGCTTCAGATGACAAATTATTCATGTCTGCTAGAAAGCACTGATGAGTTATGACTTAACCCCCTATGATTTTTTTTAACTCATCATTGTTTTTTTAAGTTATGACTTAACCCCCTATGATTTTTTTAACTCATCATTGTTTTTCATGGAAATGCCCTTAATCATTCATTTATTGTGAGTAAAGATCAGCAATTACAATTTCCTTTTAAAGTGGGGAAAGGAAATTAAATTATCATAAAAGGCAGAGCAAATTTATTGTAATTCCTAAAGTATGCCCCTAGCATTAATAGACAATTCATAATTCCCAAGAAGTTTGCAATGCAGAGAGTAAATGACCTTTTTTTTGACATCTTGTTTAACTGTGCTTAGTATTACTTAGGATATTTTGGAATTACTTAAGGCTTGAGGTGACTTTTAAGTTTGTCGTGTGTGTGTGTGTGTGTGTGTGTGTGTGTGTGTGTGTGTGTGTGTGTCTACACACATATCCATCCTGATGAATAATCCAATAGCATTTTACTGGTGACTGCAGTTATTTTAAATTAATTACTAAGAAAATGAGTCTGTTAGCAGTTAAACTTCTTTAATAAGAATATTAAAGTAAGGAAGGAACATTTAGTGAAAAATCAGAAATCCCCAATTGCAAGGCATTTGGAAAATCTCCCTGTATACTCAAAACAGCATGTTTTTCATCTCGCAGAATACATGAGGAAAATATTATCTAGGAATATGACACTAAGTTTGGAGAGGTCAGATGATGTCTTCCCTCTTAGATATTTATACTTATTTCACTGCTTAGGAGGGCTGATGTTTGAGTGTACGAGGTGGGGGGTTGCAAAAAAAAAAAGACACCAGAATTTATTTATAAAAAATTGTGTATTTATTCTTACATGTTTAAACTTCAGTCATCTTCAGAGTACTCACCATTTGATGCAGTACGTCTGTAGAAACGCTTTTTCCACTGCTCAAAACAGTGGGAAAAAATGAGATTTTTAACTCATCAAGTTTGATGCCTTCTACTGTTTTTTGTTTCATCTCTTCCACATCGGCAAAAAGTTTCCCTTCGAACACTTTTTTCATCCAGGAAAACAAAAAATGTCACTTGGGCGAGATCAAGTGAATAGGGAGGGTGGGACATAGGAGTCATGCCATTTTTTTAATCAAAAATTGCTGAACACTCAGCACAGTGTGGGCAGATGTGCTCCTAAATCACCCATCATGAAATGGGAAACACATTGAAAGAATCTAAAAAAAAAAAAAAAAAAAATCACAGAAGCCAAATGCAGCCTCATAACACTAACTGGTCACTGAACCTATGGGTTCCTCGAACACTTACCTGGGGCAGGGAACCTGTATTACAAGGGATCCACCTTCCAAAAGATAATTCTGGTTTTTTGGAGGGTCCTCTCTCATATATGTGGCATAGTATAGTTGATGATTTATACTAAAAGATATTTGTATCACCAGACTATTTGCAGGAATTCTCTATCAACAATTAGATATATTAAAACACTGGCACCTAAAAAAAATGAGGACCTATATCATTACTTTTTCTTACTGAATCAGACTTAATATTTAGATAATAGGATATTCATTGATTTCTCAGTAATCATAGTTAATTTCCTCTAAATTGCATGGCTCTACACACACACATACACACATGCACCGCACACACACAAACACACAACACGCCACAGAGATCTTGGGTTCTGTGTTTTATAAGTTAAATATCCTATTGATAATGCTAAATCATCCTATATATACTGAAAAGTCACAACTGTGCTCTAAGCCTAAGTTTGATGCACTTTGTGATAGAGTCACAGTTTGAATCAACAAATCAAAGTCAGGGTCCACAGTTTATATCATTTTATCAGGTTCATACAGATGGAATACAGTAGCTGAGCAGATTTAGCTAAATCATTCCATGTGGAGTAACATGATGGGATGGAAACAATTTTAAAGTGGTTTTGATTATTATAGTTTATTATATTGTCTTTAGAAGCCCCCATGAATAGAATTCCAGATATTTGCTCCAGAGTTGATCAGGGTTCATGAAACATTTGTGTGCACTTAGTAGTTAGGACCACTCTGTGGTTTCTTTAATATCCAGGAAATGTGTCTATGCAGGATGTGGGAGTATAGCACCTAAATTCATGGGATAAATATTAGGGAATAGCAAGTGAGGCTGTCCCTAGATGGTATTCTAAGCCCACTTCTTACTGTTGGTAGGAGAGAATGGTTCTGGTGTGGCTTATCTCTAAATGTGGCTCATTCAGGTTGACTGCTTTGAATTATAGGCAGTGTAAGACATCATTCTACATCCCTTTGTGGTGTCAATGCCTGGAGGTCAATTTGTGCAACTCTCTTTGACCTCGGGTGTAAGTGTCAACTTGGTCTTGAAGCTAAACCTTGATGGGCTTCCAAATTTCTCGGGTTGTATTTATTTGTACTACCTAAAAATCTGACTCCATTTAGGCCTTGAGCTCATAAAGCTTTTAATGGACACAGTGAGGCTCCCTTTGCCTTTTCTGAATGTGCTTGGTTATTCCTGACGCTAACCTCTACATAGCAGATTCATCATTGGCTATTGGGGGTTTCCAAATTAATCCAAATTTAGGACTATTTTAGGGCTCTCATTAGTGATCTCTGAGGTTGAGAGAAATTTCCAATTTGTGAAGCAGCAAAAGTATTAGGAAATAGATATGTATTTGGTTTACCAGGGAAATTTTTCTACTCAATTTTAAATAGGTAGACTTGATCTCAGACTGCTGTAAGGAGTAAGGTTCTTAGTTTAACAGACTTGCCCTCTTTAGATGAAGAAGGGACCTAGAATAAAAATGTATTCTCTTGTCTAACTATTCAGCCCTTCATTCTTCCTGACTGCCTCCAGAGACAAAACAGGGAAGAGGGTTATGGACAGCAACTCAGTTGGCAATGGCAGACTCCTTGCCAGTGATGGCCTCTTCCTGCCTGTCTGGGTTGCCCAGAGTTTTTCCCAGACTGCAGGAGGCTGAAGGTTTTCATTCCAGGTGCACAAGGGCCGGTCACTTGGCGTCCTTCAGGCTCTCCATCAGCCAAATGGAGTTAAAAACAAATTACATAGTGCATTCAGATGCTAACAATGATTGTGTTGATATAAGTGGAATCAGGTGCAATCATGGCTGAGTTTTTCTTCTTTTCAGCTCTTTTCATGTTTGCATTTTTGTTGTGTTTCCTAATGAGATTTTATATTTTAAAGTAATAGTAGTAACCTTCCTAATTTACACCTCTTGTAAGGGTTTAGAAACTATAGCTATGTTACTGATGAAAATTTTTGTTTTTGAAAGACAATCTATAAACTGAAGTTACTTTTTTGTTTTAATCTTGAGAATAGAAGGAATGAATTCCATATCTCCTTTGAGCTTTATGCCTCTGTTTCTTCCCCAAATCAGTGACTTTAAAAGTGTTAATTTACATCATAACTAACACTTTTGAGGAAGAATGAGATTCTTATTACAAGATTTATTTTAGTTTTCTATTTATATTGGTTAATTCTAAGATTGAATAGTCAGAAGTGCAAACTGGCAGGCTTATTGTTTACAATGACATCAATTTTTAAATTCATGGTTAATTA